AAAAAGGGTGATATCATGCAATAATTAAAACTTATACTTTCACTTTATACAACATTCTACATTGTCAGTAAAACGTTTATTATCAAATAACGTTTTTACTAATTTGACTTTATACAACAAAATAATTTACACATGTTACTTTATCTCATGTTTTACAAATTTGGACTTTCACATATATACTTAATTACCATTATTTTTACAACTGTCCATAGGATTTTAACTGTGACAGTACTTCCACAAGTCATCAATGTCAAAAATATTATTTAACGTAACATGTTTGAATGAGATTACAACTTACATTTTACTACATATGATTAATTACTATTATTGAATAACAACACTTGCCATAAATCTTTGAGGACCACATTAGTGATGTAACGTGTTCAAAACGCAGTCCACAAAATATCTGTGACATTTGCGTCATTAAAAGCATACAATCACAAAACACATATACAAATTTCTACATGTTATTTCTATTGTCCGTTCACAAGACTAACGAACCGGTATCTGATGTCAAACCTTGACACTGTTTAACTTTACTTCACACGCATATAGAGAGTTATTGTAAGAAGAAAGACTAAACATGTAAAGCTTTCTTTAACTCAACACACAGTTTACCAAGTCTGACTCGTTGAAGATCACTGACTGGGTTAAGAAAACATACAAGTTAGAAAAAAACATCTGCTTAGAATGACAAAGGTCAGTTCTGAGTTGACTAAGTCTATGTGGTTTGCAAAGTAAGTACTGTGTTGCAATGTACAAGTAGAGCAGAGTTCAAAGAAATAAAAGTAAAGCGTGACAGTCCGAAGTGTTTGATTGTAAGACGAACCATATCGATATTTCTTTATGCTCTCAAATGATTATGCCTTTGGACGCGATGTAATACACAGGTGCACATCACACAGCTAAGTAGTACTGTACATTGATTGTTATTTGCCAGTCTTATTCTTTTGCTGACAAAAACATTCGTATACCGCTGTAATCAGATTCACATAGACGTTTCATTCTGTTCAGTATGAAATGTCGAAGGTCTAGCTTATATATTGTATACTGTGTAGTATCGCGACCCAAACTCTTACTCGTATAGCGGGTAATTTTCAAATGGGTTTAAAATTAGTACAATTTTCAGCTCCTTCCTTGTACGGAAATAATAACTTATAAAAATGCTTAAATCTGAAACCCGCAATCACCTTAAAGCTCTATTTCCGTCTGCGGACTTACAACGCTAGAATCCAGGTTTCGATATCCATTGTGGGAAGAGCACAGACAGCCCATTGTGTAGCATTGTGCTTAATTACAAATAAACAATAAACAATTTAAAGAACAAAAGGACAGAAAATTAGATGAAGATAAAGAGAAATTTACAGAAAAATAAAATAAAAATGAAAGTAATGGGAATTTAAAAGAACGTGACATAGATTTGAGAGAAGAGTTAAAAATAAAGAGGTATATTACTTAAGAAAAATTAGAAATAAATCGGATTGAACACAAGATCGAAGAAACTATGGGGTGTACAGAAGGATTACAACAGCTAGTTTGGAGAAATACAGAAGAAAAATAACAAAATCCAAAGTGAAGTAAGGAAAGACATCAATGAGGTAGAAGAAACATCAGTTAAATAATAAAGCATTTGGAAAATAAATTATTAAACGCAAGGATTAAACTAACCCATATTATTCTGCATTTTCTCAATAGTTTTATTAACTGAAAACACCATCTACTATCAGATAAGGTATAAGAAAACTTATTCACTTTACACCTATTGATACTGCTGCTATTCTACCTGTTAATGAAGGACCTTCCTGGACTACTCCAGCCACGACAATATCAAATCCAGTTCTAAAGGTTAGCTGGCTAATTCAGCATCGGCCAGTCGAGAAACCAAAGTCAGCCTGGCATGAGGTCTACTTCGATTGTACACATATGCGGTAAGATTGGTAAAGTTGGAAGGCGTGGCTTCTGAAATATACCATTAACGTCTGTCCAGTGCTCTGGAATATTTATACTGCCCAAGAAGAACCATTCCTTCTTTACTTTCTGTTCAAGTTGAGGATATCAAAGGTAATAGCAGTGAGGATAAATCTGGGTTTCTGTTGAGGGTTATAAGGGGAGAAAGCTTTTAGTTGGAAACTCTTTGAGACTACCAGATCGATCTGATGAAATTAACGAAATCCTTTATAATGGAAAATGATTCAGTTATTAAGTAAGGCATTATTATGGGAAATTTTAAGTTCAGGCATATAGACTGGAAAAAGATAAAGCCAAACCATGAGGGATACAGGTTTGTAGAAATAGTTCAGGACGGTTTTCTTCACCAATTGATTAGGTTTACTAGAAAAAATTGTACTTTTGATTTATTGTTAATTTCTAATATACAGATGTTTGATAGGATGGAGATTGGGAAACATCTGGGTTATAGTGATCATTGTTCAATTATGTTTGATGTTTTGTTCCATAAGGAGATAAATAATAACGAGATTTTAGTTCCAAATTTCAAAAAAGCAAATTTTGAAAGGTAAGACACGAATTATCTGTTGTGAACTGAGCAACTTAATTTATTGGAGAAACTGGTCAAATGTGGAAAAGTTTAAAAAACAGATTATTAAAAATTGAAGATAGATATGCTTTTTATAGAAATATAGGGCGGCTGCAAGTAAAAACAAGGTTGACTTATTAAGATGTATAAAGGATAAAATCAAAGAAAAACATTATAAATTAAAAAAAATTAAATTCACTACTTTCTGCTCATAGGGAAAATAGTTGTAAACTTGTACTAGTTTATGAACGTAGACAGCCATTTTCTCCACTGATCGATCAGATGACATCTAGAGGTTACAACCTCCTTTATTTTCTAATGGGAATGTCCAGTCACGTGGGTGGTGGAAGTCGCTTTAGGAAAGGATTACGTTATCCATGTAACATGATGTTTTCGCCATCTGGAATAAGATTTCTAATTAAACAGTCTAGAAAGAGACAGAGAGTAGGTAGTACACCTCGAGTTATTCCATGGAGATGACTATGTTTGTCTTTTGAATAACAGGAATGTTTATTTATGTCCAATCTTATTGTTCCTCACAAACTCAAAGATCAGAATTTCTCTAATGAATATCTTGTTAAATCTCCTGGTATCCTGTGAACCTATATTGTCGTTTTCCAGGGAAATTAGCTTTACCTCGTTAAATTACAATATCACTACAATGGTCAACTTCAAGGAAAGCACTTTCATTTAAAATAATGATGATATTTAAATAAATCCTGTAGTGTCAGGATATTTCACGTTAATCAGACTGTTTCAAATTTTAACAAATGAACACTGTGCTATTTTTATTTACTTTTCTATTTACTCACAATTGAATTTTAAACAGACATTACAAACTTAATGTAACGTAATAGCGTAATTTAAAGCCAAATAATTGTATACTGAAATTACATTAAGTAAAGGAAGAAGTTAATATCTATGAGTCAAGCTTAATTCAATTTTTGCATTAAGATATTTTAGGCAACATTTACAATCTGAAACAAGTCTAGCTAAAATCTAAGAAATTATAATACTTCTTTCGCAGACAAAAATAACAA